TACGCAAACTGATAGAATGGTCACTCGATTCTTTTGTCACGATTCCGTCATATTGTCAATTTTCAATCTGTTTTAGGCAAACGAACAAAGATGTAACACGAGCAACTATCAAAAGAATTGTCCAGTTGGTTTTGCTGACGGGGACGACAGTGGGGGGGGGGGAATACGCCAAAAGTGGACACAAAAGTTCTCAATGACCACGACTGTAAAATTGAAATAACTTCTATCACACAAGATGGATAACCTTGATGGAATTCAAAACTACATTTGTGCAGTCAGGCACCGAAGTAGTTATAAGTACAAAAATCACCTGCGGTGATTGATCACCAAGTTGCGGGAACTCGGTTCCAAACTACAACGCGGGGAGATTATGCCTACAGGAAAGTGGAAATCAACGGAAACGCGAAGATTTGAATATCAACAATGCAAAGGTGAATTTCGTCGGAGACGAACAGGTCCGACAATATCAAACGTTCCCACAGATGGTTGCTATGATTGCCTTTTAAGCTGTGCGGTAAAACCAGAGGCCTCAGTGAGCATGAAAATCGACAAATACACCACAAATTCAGTAGCGGAAAGAGAAAAAATACTCCTTTTTTATTACACGAAAATGAATACAGTTAAAAGGGTAAACCCCATGATCGGATGATATACTGTAAGTGGGAAGGTATGAGGAATATTCAAGCTAGAACCAGCTTGTTGATGCTGCGTTTAAAAACATGGATGTTATACGTTGGAGGGAAGACCGAAAGAGGGAGAGTGTTCCACAGTTGTGCTGTTCTTGGGAAAAAAGATGATTGAAAGTTAGAAATGCGACACGCCTGGGGATAGTCACTTTAAATGGGTGGCTAGCCGCTTGTGCGCGGGATCTACGAGGAAAAAAGGTGGGTGAGGGACAGACGCGGAAAGTTCGTTAGAGCAAAACCCAAATTGGTATCGATAGAATAAGGATAAAGAAGTGACTGCCTGAAGGTGAGTTAGTGACTGCAAGTTGCATGTTAGGAACGTTAGGGTCGTTGATAAGACGGATGGTTTTACGTTGAACCCGATCAAGATGAGTAAGAGAGGTGGACAAAGCTCCACCCCACACATGGCTGAAGTATTCAAATGTAGGACTAATCTGAGCTTTGTAAAGCGAGAGGAGATGAAAGGGGTGATGAAGAAACGTCTGACGCGGAAGAGGAAGTCGATTTTAATGAGTCCTAACTGATCTATACGAATTGAAAAAGAAGCGTTCACATGTGTTCCTGCTCGGGGTCCCGTTTGCTATTTTATTAGTTTCACCCTACACTCACAGCTTAATGGAAGCTGCTTTCGCAATGCTCTGCTGACGGGGTCATATCCTCATCCAGCGATGCGTCAGTGTACTGTCGGTTTCACTCGAGGAAACGACTGTCTGACCTAAAGTCGGGGGCAAAAATGGATGCGATCAAAAAACCCAACGCAATAGGTCATTTTCCAAATCAAGTATTGATAGTTGTTCTGAGGTGCGGACACAATGAGAAGTGATGTGACGGTACGTGCATGAACAAGCCTCAGTTTGGAACAAGTACACACTTAGTTTCGGATACAGCAATTTTCTATCACATGGATCCACTGAAGTTTTTGCGCTGATCGCTCTCCGGTTTGCACCATCTCACCGTCAATTTTTTGAAAATCATTGTCGGTTAGTATATTGTTTGTCTGTCCGATAGTGCGACCACCAGACGTCCATTGGTTCATCCGGATTTGATGTTGATCGCATTATACGATCTTTCTTTCTTTTGAGAGGGGGATCCTTAATCGGAACCTTTGGCTACCAACTGATTTCCATTCTGAACCCTTGAATCTTAGCGTGTCCGATCACAACAGCCCTCACCTCCTAGACCCCAACCGGGAAGGCGGACAGCATGAACCGAAGCTGATGCTGCTCAACATCCCGATTTTCATTCTGCTCTTTTATCCAAATTGGCGGCCAAAAGACGGCAACCAGAATCGGCTCACCAAAGGGCATGGCTACTGGTTGTACAGACTGAACTGAACTGATGCTGCTCCAAGCGCAAACTGACGATCGCATTACTACTTAAAGGGCTTGTGTGTGTGTGTGTGTGTGTGAAGAGAGCAGTTTACCGAGTACCTCTCTTTCTTAATCCAGTCATAAGGTAGTGGAATGAACGCATTACCTATCGGAATTCATTACATTTGGTTTCCCTAATACCGATTCTCTAAATGTGTTCGTGATCAGTCATATTCCCCGTTTATTTCTTGATTTCAATGAGGAGCATTGTGATGTTTTAACCAAGTTCGTGAAATTAATCATCGGATAGAATAATATCACCTAATCGATTTTACTGTTTGTTTGTAGTGTATATATTCGATAGATTTAATGAAAAAATAATCCATATAGAACACTGCCCTATAAATGCCCCTCCCCTTAAAGTGCACCATGTTGCCTTGAGCATTTTGAAACCAATTCAGCTGATTAATGAGAACTTAAAATAATTAGTTAGGATTCTAATCAATCAGTGTATATTCATGGTGACCAAAACAAGTATCACATCTGTTAATAATACCCGCAGTTGCTTTACCGAATCTTCGTGTCATGTTTGCAATCAGTCGGTCTTTATAGGCCTGACGGACACCAGTCTGATGAAGCCACTTTCTAATCTATCCATACACCACATTTCTCCGCCTTGCAACCCAACCAATCCCAAGCGTGTTCAATCAGAGTTTGCGTCTTGTGAACGTGATGGACTCGGTAGCATCCATATCCATGCAACGAACAAGGGTGTTTTCATCCGGCAACAACACTAGAAAGAGGAGAAAATGTACGGCAGAAAAACGGCGAGGTACCCTTACAGACCCCATCGTTCAGAACCCTAACAAGAGATATCACACACATTCTGGTTTGGTCTTATCAAGAAGATCTGATAAAAATATCAAAGCCAATATTGAGAAACTGAGTACAACAGTGCAATGATATTATGGCTAGGGACGAACTAATTTCAGTGTTTGTCACTATTGATCATCCGACGGCATTTTGACAACCAAATTAGTGACCACTTTTGTTCTTCCCGTGATTTCTCTCTACATTAGCGTCTGTAGTTTACCGAACAACATTCCATGAATTTCCGCCAAAAGTGATTAAATAAACAAACACAAGCAATAAATGAAAGAAGTATTGGCGACAAATGTCAGAGCGGCTTGTACATCAAATTACGCATACGTTTTGATGTGTACGTGTAGGATTGCACGTTTCGTACAATGAATGAACAATAGTAATGGTGCATACAAAAGACACGAAGGAAACACTGAATTTTGTGCGGCACCAAGCTTTTTGCCTTTCCACTTTGTTGTGTGTTGTTTCTCTGTGTGAGGGATTGGTTTTTCCCTCGACCGGAACGTTCTTTGCATTGGTTGTTTCGCCAATTGAAAAACTACTAATCAGTCAGTCGAACAAAACATTCTCGCATTCAACTAGACGAAGTTTATACCGATATTTCATAGTGATATTCTACCCCGCTACCACCGGCAAACGCACCCACACACTGTCAGTGACCGTTTATTAGTGGTACAGCAACGAGGAACATGTATGGAATTTCTAAACCCGATTTATACTGTTTCTTTTTAGGATAAGTTTTCTATTGAGAATCGATACTTTTGGTATCCAATCGTATCCAGTTTGGATGTTTAGAACCCAACAGTTTGTGTTTATTCATGCAATACTATTGCCTGGGCATTACGGATCGTATTACCCTGTCATGCGACGACACCATAAGCGGAATAAATTCGGATGAATGCGTTCTCGGATGAAGCCTGGACAAAAAACCACACACAACCTTATTGTCTTTTTGTTGTGTTTATCGGATTGTGCCCATATGCATTCATGCTACTTTGCATTACACCCGGTCGATAGCTTATCGATTTTTTAACCGCCTACAATACCGCCCAATACAATTTTGAATCTACCAGGGACCATTCCTATTTAACATGAACGTTATTGGCCCGTTGCCATGATGATAAAGATCATTCAAGATTAAGTGAAATAGGAACCGTACATTGGGGCTGCCCTGAAACTGTTAGAGGTTTGGTTGTTGAAGATGAACCATGGAGGACATAACCCGTTATAAGTATCCAAGCTCACACCTCATCGATCTATCCCCGAGAACGATCAGGAAATTGCTGGATGAATTGCAGCGAAATTCCGATCAACCTTGGTAAAACTCGTGGTCAGTTAAACTACAGAAGTTTCAACTAATGAGAAATGAAAAAGAGGAAACTTGATCAACTTTTAGTGTGAGTTGAATCGCTCACGGATAAACCGTCGTTGTCGTGGTGTAATAAAACTGTCCAAGTCTGATGCGATTAGCAACACGCCTTGACAGAACACGACGGCCTGCCATACTCCATTCACAAAGCGATCGACGAGCCGACTAGGACACAATGGTAGGTTGCGCGTAATCTGGTGCTCAGTGAAGCCCCAATCATGACGGCCAATCCTAATAAAGTCATCACACTGTCAGAACAAACTCGCCTAAATTATGATCATGCATTATGAGTCGTTTGCGATTGGCTTGATTGTACTTTGTGTGTTCCTTTTATTCACGCTAGTCAACTGACTACTTTTGAGTAGTATATCGTCATTAGCTACTAAATCTTCGGGACCAACTGAATGTAATTGTCACCTGTCATCCTGTTGGCCATGCTGCCTCATCTAATCCACTGTTCTTCCTTTTTTCCCCAGGCTGAAGACGCGCGGATTGTGTGCGATGTGATCCAAGCAATGGAAGACACCAAACCGTTCTCCGAGNACGTTTATGGGCGGATACCGGGGTACAAGAGTGTTTTGCTCGCTCAAACGAGTATCAGTTGAACGATTCGGCCAAATAGTGAGTTGGATGTGACGGTCCCGTTTTTTTTGTAGTTGGCTATTCTGAAAATGATTCAGTGGTACACCTAACCTAGAGGGGTCCTATGTGGTTCGCCACTCCAAATCCCGCGGGGCTTAGGCTGACCGGTTTCGCGTCATTATTTTTAGGCAGGGCGCGGACAAAACAAAGATTTCACATCCCTGGAATATTTGTAGAATGAAATAGCCGTACACAGACAGTATGCATACCCTCAACCGAGGTATTGGAATCAAGTCTTCGAGAAAGGAGAATAGTAGGAACAATCAGGGATTCCAGGTATTGAGCGTTTCATTCTCGATGGCCTATTCGGATTCGGTGATCCCCAATCGAATAGACGTTTCATCAAAAGGAAAAATTACTTGATCATGCGCTTAGAACAAGTCATCTGTTTATATTGATTTTAACTGACCAATCATGCTTCAGACTTCACCTGCACACACAACCTTCAGCTCATTCATACAACATTAGGCGACTTAGACTCCGGTTTCACTCTGAATCCAACTCATCAGTATAGTGCAAATCCACGTCCAGTTGGGGCTTGGAGCTTCGGACCTCTCGCATGGAAGATGTGCGTATTATCATTGTGCCAACCAACTCATATCAGACAGGGCTGAACCGAATGCACTACTGATAAGCTTCAATGAAAGCGAAATCGGACTTTCGTGCTTCCAGGGTGTATGTGTGACTAGCGGGTTCACGCAAAATCTGAAGGATGGTCAGTTCAAATCAATATTGACTATCCCACGCTACTAGTAACAGGTAATTGTGAGTCAAATGTGGATTATTCATCTGTTTGTGCTGAGCATCGAGTGAGCGAGTGTTCACATTTGTTGTTCACTGTGTTTTTGACCGTCACAGTCTAATCAACTCGGAGTTGAGCAAGGTGACAGGAAAGCTTTACTGAGTGCGTATGTATGTGTGTGAGAGAGAGACCGCGATAGGTAAACAATTCGATTGAGGTTGTTTTGTCACTCAGAGAATGACAAATTATTGACTGATATTCTTTTTGTTTGTTTGTTGTTGTGATGGTGCGAACTACCTTACCCATGATTTCTCCAGCTCCACCTGCACCAAGAAAATTTTATCATTCTATCTGTCTGTCTGCATTCGTGAAGGTTCATGTCCCGGTACGTACGGTTCATGTCTGTTTTTGCGTACAGTCTCTCCCGCCCTCGACCACCACCAACCCTCGCATCATTTTGGCTTTTCCGAGACTTCTTGCTCCGTTATTGACACAAATTAATGTTTCGACTGTACGGGGGGAATTACAAGCGTCTCTGAACGTAATTACGTTGTCGAACCAACGAACCAAGTGGTGCAATGCAATCAGACGAATACCTGAGGAAGAGAGGGTTGATNCCCCCGCCCCCCCCCCCGAGTCCGCCTTTTTTCGCAGTTTGACTTACTGCAGTTTCTGCCAATTCTAATTCCCGTTTTCTTTTGTGCTGCCCTCGAAAAACCACAGTTTCCTGGACGATTTGGATCGGTTGGGTGCAAAAGACTATATGCCTACAGAACAGGATATTCTTCGGACACGAGTTAAGACAACCGGGATCGTGGAAGTGCATTTCCAATTTAAAAACATGAATTTCAAGTAAGTAGCATTTTTCGAATGATTCTAGCTAGGAATGCAGTGGTGTTGGTATGTGCGTTCTCTGAGCTGCAAGCATGTTTTGCGCAGGCATTTCGCTAGCCAGACTAGGAGCAATATCTGCAGTGCAACTTTGAGGAAGGAAGGCCTCCCCGAAACCAGTCTGTACCAGATTCTCACTATTTTCATGTATCTGTATCCGTTTTTAGCATTTGCTCCCAAGTCGTATCTACCAGGGGATTGAAAAAAATAAATGAATTAGATTGGTCTATTGTGAATGCAGTTTTTCCCGTCTCCCAACCCCTATCTGTGTCCTCTCCAACTGGCTGAGTGCCATGATCCACTCTGCAAAATTGAGCACTCTATGCTCGTAAAATACTCTTTTGCAATGATGAGCACTACAACCTGTGCCTCAGACTAGACCTCCTATCTGGACTCACCCGTACACTGTCACGATGTGATGATCGTGTGACGAGTATGCACGTACCACGGTACAGCTTCCAGGTAACCAATCAAGAAACGGATTAACCGCCCCATACTGTGGTTTCAATTCGTTCCGTTCCGTTTCGTTTGTGCAACCATTAACCATGCACTATTGTGCGCCGATTTTGGTTGCCCATTTGGATAAAGAATAGAAGAAGAAAAGAAAGATAAAAGTGGAGTCGAACAGAAAATGGAGAAGTTCAGTGGTCTAAGGTTGCAAAGAAATTGAGGAGACGCATCAGCGCCACTGTTTGCGACACCGAGCCATATCACTCAGTGTCTCTAACCATTGGTTACGATATCCCGAGGTCCCGAGCCAGGGAGCCTAACAGGACCTGTGTCCTAGTCCCTTGGTTAGGGTTTTCATACCCTCGTGCCAAGTCTTAGCTTGACAACCCATGGCTTTTTTCCACTCGGTATCTGCTTCGACGAACAACGCTCGCCGTGGTAACCTATCTGGTGACATGCGTAACACATGTCCCAACCAACGTAATTTATGTAGATCGACCACTT